CTGCTGAACCTCCCAGAACATAATTACATGTCCATGTATTGTAGATATGAATGCAGGGTGTACATTTAATCCACTTCCTTTCATTGTTTCTGATTCAACAACTTCTATGTTGTTCAGTTTTTCATTGAATTTACATGATATTAAACCTGTTTATTGGTAACAACCACAGAATGTTACCAATAAACAGGTTTTATTGGTAACATTCTGCGGTAGCAGACGGTAGGTAATTGCCGTCTCGCGTGGTTCTTGAATTGGAGGAAATTGGTACTGGAAAGTCCTTGAAAGGTCCTTGAATTTGATGTTGACCAAGGTGTGGGAACCCTGTAAAGACTTTTCTACCTTTCTGGTCTGTCGTCTCTGCTCAGGTACAGTCGGAGAGTACATGCTGCCGTTTGAGGATGAAATAGGTCAGCATCCCTCCCTGGAGGATCTCCAGGATGTGGTTGTGCACAAGAAGATGCGTCCAGCCATCAAGGACTGCTGGCTCAAACATCCTGTGAGTAACTGTGGAAGAATGGTTCCGGCATTTTTAACAGTGTTACCAGGATGTGTCGCATCCTTTTTTTTTTTTTGCCTCCCAGTTGAAGTTTAATAATCAAGAGTTCACACAGTGTTCGACCACTAGCATGTGCTGTTCTTTGAGATGCGAGGGAACAGATCCCCTTATGAGTTCCTGGTGTGTGACTGCAGGGTCTGAGCCAGATGTGCGAGACCATCGAGGAATGCTGGGACCACGACGCCGAGGCACGACTTTCTGCCGGCTGCGTGGAGGAGCGCATCAGTCAGATCGCCAGGACGATAGGCAGCACTACCTCAGACAACCCCGTCTCCATAGTCACGTCTCTCATCAACGAGGACCTACCTCCCAAAGAGTCCAGCACCTGAACGGACGACACCATCCCTCCCCCGACCTCCTGACTTTTTACGTTTTTTTTTCAACCCCCAAACTCAGCGGATCTTCGTGAATATTTAACAACTCATAAAGAACCCCTAGCAACTTCAACTCAGCTGCTATTTTCTCCCAGTCCTGGTATTTTGTTCCGGTTTAATGTTTTCAGTGTTTTTAAATCCAGATCGTATTAAAACATCCCTCTGCTGTAGTTGAAGTAGTAATAAGCTATGCGATGGGCACATCCGATAGCATCCTCGTGACAAAACCTTAAATGTCGTCATTACCTCGCGTATTTCTTTCATGTTTTAGTCTCTTTTTTTTTTTTAAATTACCTCATGAGTCATCTTTGTTGTATTTCTCGTCGTGTTCGTAATCGTCTGCGGCCAAAACAAACCTGTGCTCCAAACCTCAGACGACGTGCTGCACACCTCGGAGGAACCGTTTTTAGACTGTTAGACAAAATATTCATCTTCCTCAGGGGTCGAAAGCTTCTTGATTTCTAAAACTCGGAGCGTGCTCCCTTAATTTAGACTCCTCAGAATGTGGTGAGGGCGGAGGAGAGGAAAAAAGAAGCGGAGGAGCACAGCAGTTTTCTTTTAAGAGAGGGAGGGGCGGGGCTAAATCAGAACTGAGCAGTCATATTTTGGACTTTTTTGAAGATTTGGAACAGGTGTCTTGTTCTCGGAACTACCTCTCAGGTATCCAGCAGGCTTCTTTGGAACATTTCTCTAAGTTCAGAGCCAAGCTATTCAGCTAGCTATCATGGACATATTCCTGGACTTTTTATTTTTATTTTTTATTTTTAATATTCAGAGTTACTCCTTTGCCAGTGCCAGGGGCATTGACAGATGCTGTCTGGAGTTGCAATGTTACTCATTTTTAATTTTTAACTGTATGCATTTGTGTGCGAGTGTGAGAATCAGAAGACTGAATGATGCGGAACGGAGAAGTGTGTGCGTTTTTAAAAAAGGTAAGAAACACGAACAGGTAATTTGAGGGTTTATCCTTGCAAGGGTCATACAGGAGCAAGCAACATGTCTGTCTTTTTTTAAAATTTCATTGAAATTTGGTTAGTATACTCAGTCGGACACCAGTCCCTAGATACCTCAGTCACTGTATGTCATGCAAGGAGAGCTCAAATGGTTGCCTTTGTCTCAAATGCAATGCCATAGTTGTATCATAACATAAAAAAAAAAACCATACATTGAATGTCCGTTATGCTGCTGTGACTTTTCCAGGATACTCAAGGATTTGTAGATGTATTATTTGTTAATATAACACTAACGTGGTAACGATCCATGATATTATGTCAGGCTAATATCCTGTTTTTATTTGTTTTTCTTTTTGACTGGGTAAGCTTTTAGCTGCTTACTCCTCCAAACTGACCTCAGATATTCTGACAAGTACCTCAGGCTTTTTCTACATGTATATCAAATTGTGTTAATGTATTTTATTGTGTTTTTAGTAGCTGAGATATTTTATTGCAGGTTGGGCCTCTTGTCTGTTTTTTTGTTTTCTTTCTTCATTTTTAATAGAACCTGACCAGTTTTCATGGTGTTTATGCTCTACAAACCTAAAAGAAGAGAGGCGGATTCCTGTAAATATGCGTGTACACACCTAACACTACTATATATATATATAGTTTTTCTTTCATTTGTACACAAAATCAGGGCATTGCTCGAATTCTTTCACAGTTACAGAAAATACTTTCTCAGAACCACATTTATATATTTAAGTCAAGCCCTGCAACTTTTTTGTTTTTCTTTTTAAGAGGAGTGTTACTGATATCAATTAATTATGGTATTGGCTTATCTATATTAGAAGCTGTGAGGGTGGCACTGGCATTAAAAAAATTAATTAGTGTGTATATCATCGAAAAAAAATGACAAAGAACAAATATTTTTATGGTTTTCTGTGGCAGCTTCTGTGATTGGCCACTTGTTTGAACAGTATTGCCTCAATATTAACCTGCTGATGTGATATTCTGACCTGTTTAGTGATAGTTTAGCCACGTTGGACAACACACAGGCTCATCTGTTGTGCTTTGATTAGTGGTGTGGAAAGATAGTGATTTTTTTTAACAGTGGTCTGTAGCTCTTGCTGATGTGCAGTTTTGGTAAAAGGACTTTTGGAAAAAAAAAATCAACTCAGTGCTGAACAATGTTTTTAGTGTTTTGAAACCATCATTGTGTTTGTAGCCACACGACTGACCGATGCAGCACCGTCAGGATTCACATAAACAGCGCCATGTGCACAGTCCAAGGGTTCAGCAATATTTCCTAAACAGCAATAGTCATTTAAGTCCATTAAATGCAGCTGTGACTTCGCAGGTATCTTCTGCAGATCAACAGAAAACGTCTCCTCACACCTGGATCATGCTCTTGACGGTCTAAGTCTCCTGATGGGGGAGGGGGGAAAATGCAGTGGGTTGAACTTTTTTGTGTGCGCGCGCGCTGAACGTGGCCCAGGTGCTTTCACAAACTGTGCCAGGCAAACGACGGTCGCGTGCGGGAAACCGCCGCGATTGGTCGTTACCTCCAAATGCTGTCTTACACCCAGCTCTTCTGAACCGAAAAAAACCATGTTACCTCATGCAGTACCTTGTTTAGTAACACTAACCTGGAGTCAGTCTCATCTTCAACAAAAAAAAAAAAAAAAGGAAAAATATATCAATTATTGTGTATATATTTACTTGCTAAATGTAAAGGGTTTCTTCCTTTTCATGTGTGGATCCTGTGAAAGAAAAATCCTATATTTTTTTTCTTTGATTTACAGTCAGCATATAGTGTGAACGAATGTTGGAAATATGTGACCATCCCTGTTTATGTGAACTGTGTGTGCGTGCGTGTGTGTGTGTGCGCGTGGTTGTTGGTTGGTTTCTTTAAATCAGTATGAATGAAAACTTTTATCTGTGCATTGAAATGCTTAGAAATATAAAGTAGATGAGAGTACATTCATCTTTTTGTATATGAAAATAAAGACGAATTCTGATTAACCACGTAAATTAGTATTTATGTTTTTTGCATTTGTTTTTTTTTTATTATTATTTATCCTTATAAAAACAGTTTGATTAAACTACATGGTGGTTTGCTGTTACACTTTAAGCTTTGTGATATGAAATGTACACTAGATGGCAGCAGGGGTGTCACTGTTTTGGTTGTTTTTAATTTGGGGCACTTATTTATCTTCAACTTCTATCTTTTGTTCATGTTTCCTCAAAGGCACAAATATAAACCTTTTGACTTATTTCATAAATGAACTCATTGTTAAACAAACTGAAGTATCTGGATTGTGGAAAACATTTCAAAAATAGAATTTCAATTTTAGGTGGTATAACAATAACAGCTATTTGCTACACATTATAAAATATAGATCTCGTGAAAGGTTTAGGGGTTAAAAAAGCATGAAAAGCCACATTAAAGAAAAAAACTAGTAAACGTGGTGCATTCACTGCACATTGGTATAATTCAATTACCCACCTACAAGTGTACCAAAAGTACAAAGCCAGTTATGAATGACACAACAGCTCGGAATCAACAAAAAGTTTGAAGTTATTGCTAAAGTATAACCATCATAACAATATGCTATCTGAATGAATTTATACAAAAGCTGGTTAACTTTTACTTGCTCATTTGAACTTTAATTATCAAATGTCCAATGGTGTCTGAAGGTATCACAGCGATGCTCTGAGCAGATCTATCCAATGAGAACGCAGCTGAAACGTCACGTGACAAAACCGACTCGTAAACTAGGATTGAGTCGAGAGAGAGAGTTTCAAAGTAGTTACTTGGGTATGTACAGTTAGTGCATACAACGAGGTTTCTGCCTTTTCTTGGAGTTACTTTTGCCTGACAGAAATGCTGGTGGATCTTTATTACTTCTGACAAACAAAGCATTAGTTGGATACTTTAGCCATTATGACATTAAACTGCCAAGCAGGTGAGTATAAAACAAAGCGCATTTCTTAACTGTGAGCAGTTAGGGTCGTGATTGTGTTTACTGGGGGAGGCAGCATCATTTTTCATTTTAAACAGACAGGAATAAGAAAAATTGAGGACTTTTTGAGGCTAGAGTTTCTGTAAATTTTATTTTTTCCGTTCTAATTGAAAAATTAGATATTTTTTGTATAGCTAAACAATGACTTGGTTAGCTATGTTCAGTTTTATGAACATACTGTTAGCTATGCTAACTTTGTTGTGAACGTCTTTTCATTTCACAGATTTAAAACTAATGTAGATAATGTTTTAAAAATAACTTTAAATATAGCAAATACAACTAAAATGTTTATAATGCGCATACTAAACCAAATAAGGCAACATATCCATTGAAAGACTATAAAATTTGTTTGTTGTAACCGGATTTTCAACTAATATTTCAGTAGATTAACCTGTTTACAGGGTAATACTTAACTAACCCATAAAGCCATGCTTTCAGGACTCTAAATCCTTTAACCCTTTATGATGCTTTTTCTTTCAGCCGTCCAGGGACGAGGGCTGGTTAGGGGCTAGCTGGCCGACTGCAGCACCTGTAAACGGTGGCGGCTGCCCCAGGGATGCTACGAAAGAGCAGCAGCAGCAGTGGAGGTGGAAGTGGGACAAAGCACATCCAACAGCTGCCACGGCGCCACTCCAAACCCCACCCAGAACCTCTATCACCCGGATCAGCCAGGACCTGGGCTACCATGGGCCGCACCGCCAAGAACCCCGGCCCCCTGAGCAGCGTGTGGCTGTCCTCCCGCTTGATGGGGGCCCCAGGTGTGGACCCAGACTACGTCATGCAGCTGGTGAACGATGTGCGGTGGTTTGCTGATGTGCTCATCTGCCTCAAGGATGCTTTCCAGCAGCTAGGTGAGTTTAGACTGGGACGTCAACGTTTTGAACAAGAGATTAAAGAAACACAGTAACAGATGAAGAATGTAACTTCTGCTTCATTACAGTAATATACGCTTGAACAGGGTTCCTACAGTTTAAGGCAAATTAAATCTAAGACTTTTTAATGCCAAGTGAAATTAAATTTAAGACCAATTTCATAATAAACACAAATGACAAAAAAAATTAAAAATAACAACTGGCAGAAACTCATGAATCAAAGTATTTTTGGTTGAAGTATCCAAATATTGCTAATAGACCAATTGTTTTTATCCATATCTAACTATAGCAGAAACATTCTTAGCTGTCAGTTTTAAAATTAATTTAATGTCAGGAAATCCTCTAACAACCCAAAATTTGGAGTTTTAGGACCCACAATCTTAACCCCAATTTGCTGTAGATAAAACCTTAAAGTGCCCGTGACATCAGTTCTTTGTAAGAAAAGTGAATGCATTTTTTGGAAAGACATTAACATATTACAAAACAAATTTCACATTGCTCAGCTGGACAATTGAGATGTTTGCATGTGAAATAACAGGAAGTGATGTCAAAGTCTGTATGTGAATATTAAAAAAATATATTTTTTACCAATTATTTTAATATTTGAAATGAATTACAGTCAACCTATGTACCATGTCTTAGCATTTTTAAGACATTTGAAGATTGATTTAAGACATTTTAAGGCTAATTAAGGCCTTGTTTTTGAATTGACGAATTCAATGACAAAGATTTTTTTAAGGATCTGTAGGAACCCTGTTGAACTTATTTTCTGGTAAAATACTTCCCCATTTTCTGGTAAAATACTTCCCCCTACATCTACCTTTCTGTGAACTAATATTATTGCCTGCTGCTTTGCATGACAAAGTTTGAAATGAAGATGATCTGTTGGTTTTTGAGGTATTGTGACTCTCAGGTACTACCACACTAAATTTAGCTCGGTGTAAAATTGACCGAGAAATATAATTTATTTTAAAGTTGAGTCAAAATACTAAAACCAGATTTCTACCATTGATGCAATAAGTTGCAACATTTATAAATATGCTATTATGCTGTGAACGTGAATACCATTGTGGTGACACATTTTCGGTGTATTTAAGTGTTACTGTGAACATGTTTTTATTTGCTGGCAAATATAATGAACTGGTGGTGTCCCTGCTTTGCTTTATTTCTTTCTTTTTAAAAAGAAAGACACGAACACAAAGCTGTGTAGCGCTTACGTTCAGGAAAATATATGTACACTATGATGACAACCAGACAGAATTACTTGAAGTGTCAGCGTATGTTGTGATAACTGCTTCTGTATTAACACTTGTAGTTCTGTTAGCATATTTACACTCTCCCACGCTCTAATATGCTGACAAGAATACGAGAGCAGTCGAAACGAGATCAGAGACAGGTAGCACTCGTATTTGATTTATCCCCCCCCTTTCACTTGTGACAGTTTGGCTTTTGTTTGCAGACTCATATAAACATTCCACCCCCACACATATGAACATTACTGCACAGAGGTAGAGACACTTCCTGTGGGTGGCTGCGTGTCATGGTATGGCTGCAAGAAAATATTTATTTCATTATGAGTCAATCTCTGCATTTGTTTTTTTTTGAGGTATGTGAAAAAAATAAGTTCCTTGATCCTCGAGCAACATCTTGAATTAAACACAAACTGTTTGCACAGTCCTTTGACACTCGAACACGCTTCATGTGTTTCATTGCAAAACATAAAAACAACGATAAAGCAAAACCTTTAAAGAGTAACTTACCCCAAAATTAACTTTTTTTAGCTGATAAACTGTCTAGAATGTGTCTAAAATGTTATATAGTACTGTTTCTGTGCTAATTTTGATGTTTTTGTGCGTATTTGTTCAAATCTGTAATATCCATCCATCCATCCATC